ATCCTAACACTGGCATCTTCTTTAGGATGTAATGGTGATAACCTAGGCAGGATGCTTTCCAAGTCAGGAGAAAGTACAGCAAACCTCAGATGAAATCTCCATCACTATTAGGACACTTCAACAGAGAGCTGACTGACCCAGCCTGAAAGGATTCCCATTTCTCTATGCCCAGAGGCACCAGGGTTGCGGGGGGGGGGGGGGGGGGGGGGGGTGTAGAGAGGGTGTTCTTACAGAAGTCTTATCTTGCTGGCATCTATTCATCTACATTATTGCTTCCATGAACTAAAGCCAGACAGAGACTATCTGAAAGAACAAAAACAATGAACTTAGGATGCTTGAGTTTTCACTGCCAAAATGAAACATTAGCATCACTGTCGTAATGATGGCACTCAGGTAGGCTCTACAGCATCATGCTGCAAAGAGCTCCATAAACATGCATTAATCTCATGACACCCTGCAGTGCAAGCAGGGCTGCTCCATCTCACAGCTGAATGGCAGGAACAGGCCACAGTAACTGGGAACAGGCACCTGGAAGAAATGGAGCTCAGCACAGTCTCAGAAGCTGGACTAACCAATCCCTTTGAAAATTCAGTCATAGGGGTGCCTGGCTGGCTCAGAGGAGCATGTGACTCAATCTCGGGGTTGTGGGTTCGAGCTCCACATTGAGTGTAGAGATTATTTAAAAATAATAAAATCTTTTAAAAATTCAGTCATAAACCTTAATAAAGTTCACATCTTTGAACTCCATAATTCTAATTCTGGGACCTTAACCTAAGAAAATAGCCCAATACATAGAAAAGCTTTTTGCACAACAGTGTTCACCAAAGCATTATCTATAAGGGCAAAAGCTGTCAAAAACTTCAATATCCAATAATAAAAGCACAATTTAAAAATTCAAGTACACATACATAAAGAATATGATGTAGCAATTTTAAGGCATATTTCTAAAGAAAATGCTCGTAATGTTAAAGGTGAATGATCAGGTTATAAAAGTGAACACATGTTATAAAAACAGTTTATAGGAAGAAATGTACACAGGAAAAAAAGATGGAAAAGATGTAAGCCAGATGTTAACAGTGGAAAGCTTCATATGGCAAGGCTATAGGATGGGTAATTATTTTGTTCTTGCAATTTGTCTGAGCTTTCCAAATTTGCTTACAATGAATAGGTATTACTTGTAAAAGAGAAAATTAAGTCTTTTTTGTTATAAAATAGTACCTAACTGATTAAAATCACTTCCAAATTACATGTGCTAAGAAAACTTACAATAATGTGTAAATTCTTATATGCAAGAATAGAAAATCATAAGTAGGAGGATGAATTTGCAATATGTATCCATGGGTGTACACCTATATTCACACAGGAAGCAAAATGTAAGAGGGGATTGGAAAGACACAGGCAAACCAGCAATGGCATGGGGACGAAGGGGCTTCCAAGCTCCCACCAGCCGTCACAGTAATTGCACTCACTGCAAAACAAGCAGTGGGCTTGCCATGCAAACACAGCTTCATACTGGTCTACCAGGCTTCCCTCCTGGCCAGACTGCAGCCCCTAAGTACTTCTTTAATAGGAATCCTGAGCCCTCCAGACTCCCATCACCAAGGGAATTGAAACCTAAAATATAAACTAACAAATTTTTTTAAGTGGAGATATGGTTAACTGTATAATGACTTTGTCACACTCTAAGACAAGATTTAAAGCCAAGGACAAATGCTTTAACCCCTTCACCATTTCAAATATCGAAGGCAAGACTTTTTTCCACTGGCCTAGAAAATCCACAAAATCAGTGCATCTTCAATTCCAGAAACTAAGACATCAGCACCTTTAGTTGCTCTGGGATAAGAAAAGTCTAAAGTCAAGAAACATAAGAACGGCAAACCAACTAAGTGGGTGGGCACCAGCCTCTGACTCACCTCTAAGACTACAGCTTTACTGCATTGCTTGGGCAGGGACAGAGGATCGGCCCTTTCATCCTACATCATAAGTAACTATTACCAACCATGTGGGGAAAGAAAGATGAGAAGAGCAGGCAAAAAATAAAAATGATGAGCCCACTCCACAGGGACCCACTCCAGAGAAGGCTGGGTACTTCTATCTCCTTTATTCCATCACTGGTTATTTCCCTAGAGAAAGTGGGGCACTAAAACCATTGTCCTACAGGTACTTGTGCGCCTGGCTCTTATAACTAATATCCAACAATCCACAGCTTCCTTGAGAATGTGCAGATTATTCAATCACCTGTGTTGAGGAAATGGGACAAGTCAGTTCCTTTTTTCAAGTACTGACTCTCCCAACCCACCCTCTCCTCTAAACTCTAACCACCACTCTTTGTACAGTGTTGGCTCTCACAGCTTGCCAGACTTTCAAATGCACCGAGCACCTGGGGATCTTGTTAGACTATAGGTCCTGGTTTAGCAGGGCTAGTTGATGCAATTAAACCCCACTCTCTGAGGGGGAGACCCAGGCAGTGGTAAGGCTCTCCAGATGACCCGCATGTGCAGCCAAGTTTGCATACAGGGCTAAGAGATTTCAAAAGGCCACCAGCCTGGTCTAACTGCTGGCTCTGAGTGTGCCCCTGCATCAACAATACCAGCACACACACACAGGTAAAGCACATGGTAAGCTCTCTAAAATATTGGCCATGGATATTATTTTACTACTACTACCAATATGATTATTATTCAGGTAGGCTGATGCAACTAGGAGGAGGTCAAATTTGTAAGGAAATAGAGTTCTTCAGTAAATTATAATTTAAAAGAAGTTCAGAAAATATGAACTGGGGAGGAGCTTTGAGAGGGTGGCTAAAAGCAAATGTAGGAGGAGGTGACCATGGTCCTGTGCCCATAACCAGGGCAGTAACAGTCATAATTACAGCTGCCATTTTCTTGGGCCTTAATGTTTCAGGCACTGTCCTAACTAACTGTGAATTTTCCAGGCAGAACCCAGTGGTTTCCATTATTCAGAACCAACTGTCTCAAGGCCCCAGGCTCAAGATGGCCTGGGATCTTGACAGGAATGGGGGATGTCTTCATTTTTCCTCAGAAAATGAGGAAACTGGTGAGGACTGGACACAACTCTGTTAACTGTGAACCATGGCAGACTAATGTCAGGCTCAGGAGAGACTGTGTGTAGAATCCAATGGGGTGCCCCCCTCACCTCCACTCCCTGGTCAGGCTCCTCTAAAAGGCTGACTGCCCAAGAAGGCAATGGCAGTAAAGTAGGAGTCTCAAAAGCCATGCAGGGGGAGGCAACAACTACAGGAGCTTTTCACCTCCTGGGCAGGCATTGAAACAGCTGAGGAGCGTGAACACGAAGCTAGTCTACATTTTGAACCATGTGCTGCTCTTCCTCCAGTTCTTTTTGTTACCTCTTCCTCTCAGAATTGCTTTAGGAGCTTCTTTCCTTACACCTCCTGGTTGCCTCTCCTCCCCAGATGTCTTCCAGAGAGTGGGGAAGAAGAGTTTGAAGGGCCTGGCCACTTCACAGAGGTATGCCCTGTATGCTACCCTTCACACAGAATAGAGAAAGTGACATTCCATGAAGGAGCAGCTCATGTGACTGAAACAGCTGAAGTGGACCCATTAAGGGAGGACAGGAGAACAGGGTTTCCAATCAGCCAGACTGGAAGTCTGAGATGGTCTAAAGCACTCAACTTTGTATGCTTTTCTGAATCTACACTTAAATACAGTTTCATTCATTTTCAAAGGGCTGTTACCACCCCAAGAGGACCGTCCCCAGCACAGCCCCCAGGATGAAGGCTCCCATGTTATAGACACAGATGGTGACAGTCTAAGGAGCTCGCTCAAAGTGTGAGCACAGAGCGCAAGGACTGGACTGGGCAGCCAGGCTCAACCCTGTAACTCCACATTAGGAAAGAGCCAAGGTCTGGAAAGGATCGAACTCCATACTCAGCACTCACATATGTAGTCTCATTTCTTCCCCAGAGCAGGGCAGTTGAGTCCGTGTCCAACTTCATTTAGAAATGAGCAAAAGGAAACAGAAAAAAGCTCAATGACTGTCCAAGAGCAGAGCTCTCATCAGGGGAGAGGGCAGAGCCCCAATCCAAGTCTGTGTGGCCCTCAGGCTGAGCCACAACCTCTCCAGGCACACAACAACCTGACCTGCTCTCTCCACAGAATTTGAAATGTTGCAAACTTTTAAGACTCACAGGACCAGAGAATGTGGTCACTTATTGTGATTATACTACCATCTTTCCTTAAAAAAAAAAAAAAAAAAAAAAAGCCCAAAAAACTATCTTCTTATATAAAAATGTTTCTCCTTGATTCCATTAGTTTCTTTAACTTCACCGCCCCCATTTTATAAATAAGGAGGCAGAAGCCTGGGATGTTAAGTGAATCTGACAAGGAACAAGGACCCAAATTCAAAAGGCCCTGTGTTTCAGGCCATGGGTCTGGGGTGTCAGCCAGACTGAGTGGTTCCCTGCAAAATGTGCAAACTGGCAGCCAGTGGGCAAAGCAATGTCAAATAGTGATGCGGGGCTTCTCCATAAGCTCACTTACATGAGAAGAATCTCAACTGAGTGGTTAGTTCAGCAGAATTTCCACCCCCACCACCATTTGCACACAAATAAATCTGAGAAGGAAAACTAAAGATGGGGAGGGAGAAGTCACTCATCATCAATAACTTTATTCCCTCAGAGAGTCTTCCCACTTCTGTAAAGAAAAACATATCCTCTATTCATAGCTCTGCAAGTGACATATTTCCTTTAGAGAACAATGACTTGCAGAATATTGTGTGTGCCATATTACTCGACAAAAGTAGAATCATATAATGTCAAATGTTTTTTCAAATTTCTATTTAGAGAGAAGAAAAACATACTATTATTTTGTCAAAATCAGTCACCATGGCAGCCTGAGCCCCTTGACTCTGAATTCCTTCAGTTCATAAACATAAATGCATACTCATTTTATAGAATTGTTTGTTACTTTATTACCTACCAACTAAGTTCAAATAAAGTTTTAAGCGTGGAGAATTCTCACCTGTGAAAGCATTTGTGGCCTGAAAACCAGCTTCCTGCATACTGCTCCCCAGACAAGCCTGTGCTCCAACTCTTAAGCTATCCTGTCAAGAGAAAACTGCCTGGGCGAGGCCTCAGGTCACTTCCATCTTAGCTTGTCGGAGTCCATCGCTCTGCCCCGTCCGGCTTTTGGTAGCATCTGATGCCCACCTGTCCTGCTCCCAGACCCTGAGAGCAGGTGGTACCTGGGACGGCACCCAGTCCAGCAGCGTGCACACTTGGGGCACACAGTCACGTCAGCCGTCCAGCCAGAGAGTGAAGGCCATGGTGAGCCCAGGAGCAGAGGAAGCTGTCCCGCTGAGACCTGCTTTCCCACCTTAGAGTGAGGCCCTCCTCAGCCACTTGGCAGCCAGCATCCTCCACGGGTCTCAGCCGCTCTAAGGGAGCTCAGTATGGTCTGATCTGCTGCTCTCTGTGCTTCGCCTCTCCCTTGCTGAAATTAAAAAGAAAGAGATCACTTTCCTGATGACCTGTAGGAACATGAAATTTAGTAGACCCATTGAGGCCAAAAAAAGGAGAAAAAGAAAAAGCTACCCAGAGCAATGTTCATGGTCATGCTATGGGCACTGGAGGAGCTCTGGGGAGGCGGTAGGTGCACCACCTTTTCCTGAGTGCCTGTGAAGGGGCAGGGAGCAGAGGTAGCTTTTACTTGCACCCCAGAAGAAAAGACAGAAGACAGTATTCACTGCTCCGAGCCTCTCTAAGAATGGCTACAAAGGCCATACAATATTCAAATGTCTTTCCCTCAGTTACTTGTAGTTCACAGGTACCCTGAAGAAGAAACCCATTTCCCAAGCTTGTTCCTGAGGTCTTAGAAGTGAGGTCTGAGGTTCCTATCCACTGCTGTCAGTACTCCTAGAATGACTTGTGTTGAGGAGTTTTAAAAAATGACTCTCAAGGGGGAAAACAAAGGCCTATAACAATATTTTAAAGAGTGAGAAGGAGGGGCGCCTGGGTGGCGCAGTCGGTTAAGCGTCCGACTTCAGCCAGGTCACGATCTCGCGGTCCGTGAGTTTGAGCCCCGCGTCGGGCTCTGGGCTGATGGCTCAGAGCCTGGAGCCTGTTTCCGATTCTGTGTCTCCCTCTCTCTCTGCCCCTCGCCCGTTCATGCTCTGTCTCTCTCTGTCCCAAAAATAAATAAACGTTGAAAAAAAAAATTAAAAAAAAAAAAAAAAAGAGTGAGAAGGAAAAGCAAGTTTAATCTGAAATTTTGCATTACCTATTACATACCATTATATAATATAAAAGCATTTTACAAAATATTTCTCAGATACTTTAGTGTTGTTATAGTATACAAGAAGCAACACTAATAACAAGAACGTTAGAAGCCCAAAGATGAGACTTTTTAAAATAGAATCCGAATAGGACTCTCCAGTATTAGAGAAAAATCTTTTTTCCATTATCAGCACTTCACTCTAATCAATTCATATCGATCTTTCAAAAATACAACCTTATTCCTCTTTTTCACCATCAAACTAAAGGAAAGAAAAATAATTTCAGAAAATGGCACATAACAGAAAAGAACACTCTGTTAAGCCCTCTTGTTGTAAATATAAAGTAGTAAAGGAAACATCACTAATGCAGGCTAGCTATAAGGAAGACCTTATGTATTAATGAAGTGCTGTAATTATGTTAATAAATTCAATTGTATTGCCTTCATGTACCTGCAGTAACAATCACAGTTAATAAGGTGTAGTGTACCACAAGTCCTTAAATTTAATGAATAGGTGGAAAAAATTATTCCAATTAAAATAACTTATGCAAATGGTAGTTCTGAAGTGCTTGAAAATGTGACAAAACATTTTTTCTCTGAATTGAAACATTCCATGTAAAATGACCAACACACACAGTGTGAGCATCCTAACGGCCTACACTAACTTCTAAAGTAAACTAACCACATGCACTATACCTATCAATTTGAGGAAATGGAAGTGCCAGAAAAAAACAAAACCACCTGCCCCTATAAAACCTCTATTTTCTTTGCCCTTTGCTATGGTGCTTTCAATGCACAGAAACAGTAGACTTTACTTGTTCTTTTTCTTTAAACTCAGAGACAAACGAAGCGTGATGAGGTTTTTGTTACTTTATCGTGGGCTTTCTGTTTATTTTATTTTGTTTCATTGCAAAAGGTATGCTACCTCAATTTTTAAAAACAAAATCAAGCTATCCTATATCACATTTCAAATGGCTATGGAAAAGACTGAGGCAGATGTGGACCAAAATGGAACAAACAATTTTTTTTCTTTTCTTCCTTTTACCATCTTCATCATACTCACCAATTCTTATAATGTCTATTTATTTTTGAGAGAAAGAGAGAGAGAGAGTACAAGCGAGGAAGGGGCAGAGACAGGAGGAGACACAGAATCTGAAGCAGGCTCCAGGCTCTGAGCTGTCAGCACAGAGCCCGCTGTGGGGCTTGAACCCATGAGCTGTGAGATCATGACCTGAACCGAAGTTGGATGCTTAACCAACTGAGCCACCCAGGCGCCCCCACGCTCACCAATTCTTAACTTTACTTCTAAAAGAGAAGTATGGTGACAGGTATCTAACAGCTCAAATTGGGGTCTCAGGAATGGTATTGGTCAGAACTTTTAGGGCAATGTGTAAACTAATAAAGACCAGAGGAACACAGTATTATCCCATTAGTGAGTAACTTTCAAATTCCTGCATATACTCAGTCTCCATAAATGCAATTTTTAAGTTAAAATGAAACTGTAACTTCCATAAAATGTTTTCTTCCTAACTACTAACACATATTCCTTTTGTAGAAATATACAAGAAAGTAGCAAGAGTGCCCAGGACCTGAAGCCTCTGTTCTGTTCAGTGAGGGACCCACGCATCCAGGACAGGACAAGGAACCCAGTCACGCTCAGTAAGAAAGTGTCAGATGACCCAACAGGCTGGGGAACACAGGTGGATGACTAGAACCCAGAATTAGGAGAAGCAAAGCACATCTGCTTTCACAGCTTAACAACCAACCAAGAATCAGCAAAAAAGGCAGAGAAACAGAACAAATGGTGGTCTCACCCACTTTCCCCATCTAACCCTCTCCTATGGCTCTTGCTCATGATCCTTCTCACCTTCCAATCACAGCTCAAATGTCCCTGGTCAGAGAGGCCTCCATGATTATCCCCCAGGATAAATTCCCAGCCTATCTACCCAGCTTCCCAGCACTTGCCATAGTCATAGCTGCATGCAGGGGTCCTGATCATTTAGCACCCATCTTTTGCTGGACTCTAAGTGCATTGAAGACAAGGACAGTGACTGACTGACTTTCCACCTCCCTTCAGCAGCTAAGATACTGCCTGATGCCTGTTCTGCTGAATGAATGGAAGAGTGGATGAAGGCCATTGGTGTTCGGAGGGGTACACACAGAAGAGCTCAGCAAACACTTACAAAACAAACCCACCCCAAGCAGTGAACAGAGGTAGCATTTCCTGAGAGACTATTCTGCACGGCTGGCTCAGAGCCTCTGAACTGGGAGGGTTCTCTGAAATGGTCAAGATGAGGCAGTGACTACCAGTGATCATTCCTACTCACTTCACAGAACGTCCTGTCCTATCAAGTAGAGGATAGGATACTGAGAAAGAAAGAAAAGAAAGAAAAGAAAAGGAAAAGAAAAGAAAAGAAAAGAAAAGAAAAGAAAAGAAAAGAAAAGAAAAGAGTAAAGAGAGAGAGGCAACTTACCCAGCTAGCAAGATCACAGAGTCATCCTGAGTCACACATTCAAGATCCCTTGCTACAGAAAGCAGGCTACCATCATCCTGTCTTTTATACACACACACACACACACACACACACACACACACACACACACACACACACATTCTATTTATACTGGAAAGATGGACAGGCCTAACCAGGAAGTAAATTAATTCAATACTGCACTTAAAAAATGTCATTAAGTCCCTCCCACAACAGAGCAACAGTTACTAAGGAAATAGAGCACACCAAATGGAAAAACATCCCTACAGGAAGGGACATTTTTTTAAAACATGAACACCCACAAAACCTAACCAAATAAGTTGTAGAATATGTTTTTGCCTTACCACTTATTCCTAAAAACTTACATGAAATGCAGTCCTCCTAGAAATCGCTGGGGAATGAAATCTTAACTGCATTCAACAGCTCACAGCTCTCACAAAATTACACTACAAAAATAGGCATATGCAATTCAGGAAACATTAGGGTTATACACTAGGCACAAAGGCCAAAACCCAGAAGAGAAAGCGAAACGAACTTTTTTAAAAATCTAGCAACATTCAAAAAATTTGTAGTGCATAAGAAATAAACACTGCAGCTTCATTTTTTATTTCCTCTCACTGTGGACAGACTGCTTCACTGGCCTAGTGTCGGTTACCTAGGTGATGGCTAGACTGAGCAGCCCAACGGGCTCCAGGCCGAAAAGACTCTGAGAGTTGAGGCTCTGTGCCTATGTCTGATGATCTGTCACTGTTCTAATCACCAAATAAGTCCTAGGAAGAAAGTCCACTGAGAAATGAAGAGACAGCTCTAACCTTGACAACACACACACACACACACACACACACACACACACACACACACACACACACCATGAAAATTAATACATGAAGAGTCACTGCTTATGGGAAAAAAATCTCAATTACTGGCTGGTTCACTTAAGTTTAAAGGGGTAATGGACTTTCAGGGAGACAGATGTGACAAAAAGTAGACAGAAGAAACCTGAGGATCTGTTTCTAACCAGAGTCTGAATCAGGTGTCACCCTGGGAAAGAGATGTCACACTTACCCACATGAGCTCCTCAACCTCATGAACAGATAATCTGGACCTTGGCAAGTTTCCATGTCTCAACATTTCCTAATAGCATAAAAGGATGTCCTTGGAAAAAACACAGCCCCTGCCCTCAAGGCAGCCATGGGGCAGACAACACCAGATAGGACATCCTTCCCCTGGTTCTGGGCCCACTTACAGAACTTGGTCGAGTCCCTCAGCCTGTCAAACTCACACTTTCTCATTTGTGAAGTGAAGACATGAAACTTGAAGTCCCTTCTGAATAAGTCCTCCTTGAATATTCTGCTGTGGCCCTGTCTCTGGTCAAGGGAGACAGGACAAATGTGTATGAAAAGAACATAGTGACCAAATACAGAAAATCTGCACATAAACCCAAGTCTGAGAACAAGTCAGAGAAATGAGCTGCTTGCAACCAGGGAAGGCCAGGTTGGGTATTATAGATCCTTCATGCTACTATTAATTTCTATGATTCGGGGCTATAAAACAATTTGAAGTTGTATTATAAAAGCTATAAAGGGGCACCCGGGTGGCGCAGTTGGTTGAGCCTCCGACTCTTGATCTCAGCTCAGGTCATGATCTCACAGCTCGTAGGTTCGAGCCCCACATCGAGCTCTGTGCTGACGGTGTGAAGCCTGCTTGGGATTCTGTCTCTCCTTCTCTCTCACCCTCCCCTGCTCGTGTGTGTGCACACATGCTCTCTCTCTCTAAATAAATAAACTTAAAAATTAAAAACAAACAAACAAACAAAAAAACATCCTAGCCCTGGGAAGCTTGATGGGCTCCAGATAATTAGGTCAGCATTTTAGGAAACAAGTGCAAAATCAAATATACACACAAGCTGCAAACTGGAAAACGCAGTAATTATATTAGAACATCCTTTAAAATGTCACTTTGACAAATACGACACCTGATAAATCCGAAGGACTATAGTCTGAGGTTCTACTCAAACCAGGTGGGAGAAAGTTCCCCTCCCCCCAAATAAGCAAATAGGATACTGTCCCTAGTGAATCAGGAAGTCTGTAACTATCTCCTCATGCTATCTAGGAGCAAAGGAAGCAAGAGGTTGTCTATCCCACCCCTTCATTTTATGGAGGAGACTGAGGTTCATGGAGGAGAGGCAATGTGTTGAAAGTGACTGTGATGATAAAGGCAGAGCTGGGAATGAAACCAGGTATCAGTCTAGGCCCAAGCTCCCAAGTTCTCCCATTCACACAAACTGGCCAAAAGGAAGAAGCTGAAAAAGGGATGTGGTACACACCTATACCACTACCAATGGGGACCAGGGAATCCTGAGAAGTTTTCCACTTTCCCAGGCCCACACCACAACACCAATGTGCTAAAAAGAAAAGTCAAGGAAGGGTCGGGAGCTTGGTACAGAATCAGAATGTGCACTGAAGTTTCACCTGACACAGTCTGAGCACATCATGGTCACCTCAGCTGTGAACGCCAGGCAAGCAGAAGGTGGCTGCATGAGAAATGGTTACCCCTCCATGCCTGGTACAAGGGGTACAGACTGGCCACACTAGGGAGTTGGGCTTGAGATGCTCCACACTTAGCACTCTCCCCCATTCCAATTGTCTTCAGATAAAATTAGCTTGCAATGGGCATGACAGGCAAAGAAAAATCGGCTCCCACAGGGAGCTAACAAGTGTGAGCAATAAGGAGGAGGAGCTGTCCTCTGGTTCTTCGGTAAGAGTAGGAGAGAGTGACGACTGAGGAGCTATCTGTGTGAAACAGTGTTTGTCCTGCCCATATGCACTCCCCACACCAAGCCACTCCCTGCCCCAGCTAACAGCAGCCTTCCATACAACACCTAGGCCTTGCCTAAGACAAGCCCTGCTCTCTGTCCTACAGAATGCTGTACAAGCTGCATCCTTTCATTCAGTATTTCAATAGCTCTTTGTGGATATTATTCTAGCAAGGTATTATTTTAGATGATGGGGAAACAGGAGTGAACAAAACAAACCAAGTTCCTGTCCCCATGGTGTCTATGCTGTTTATGGAGCTGTTTCCTAATGGAAACCTTTTCTTGCTAATGTTTGTATCTTCAGCATTGACCATGGGGCCTAGGATATAGCAGGTGTCCAATAAATACAGGTTATACTGCACTGAATCACATATGAGCTTCAGCTTGATCACCCCCTTGTCACTCTTACTACCTCTGCTCTGTATTGGCTGCACAAAGTCCTGATGCATGGTACACAAAGAGGCTGCTAGCCACAGGGCACTCAAAGCCTAGAGGGCATTCTGTGAGAGAAGTTCCAACTAGAAGTCTGGAGCCCAGGCAGTGCCAACCCCTCCACTATGTAAAAGACACTCAAATGAGAGCTTTATACACCAACAGGCCAGAGGACAAAAGGCCAGGATGAGTCAGACTGCCTTGGGTTCACCTCATTCTAGGCTATGTGTGATTTCAGTAGTTACTTAACCCCTTTGAGCCTCAGTTTCCTCATTTGTAAAATAAAAGCAACAGTGGAACCTACCTCATAGAATTCTTGTACATTTAATGAGGAAACATACACAGAATACTGGTCTCTAATAAATGGTAAAGAAGTAATAGTTGCTACAGTGATTATAACTCCCCTCAGCAGATTGATAAATTATGTCTTTAAAGAGTATTCCCTCCCACTTTTCCAGTTTCTAATTGACCTAATGAGACAAAAAATGGATTTTATCTCATAGTTCCTCAATTGATTTGTCTTGATTTATTTTTTTAAAGTTCTCAATAGATAAAAATCTAAGCTTAAAATCATTTTATATGAGCTAAAATTAATAACAGAAAGAATCAGGAGAAAGGATACAAAATTAGACAAAATGTGTGGGTGAGATATTTGGTATGAAATGTGGTAGAATAGTAGAAGAAAAAATGACAAAAAAGAAACTTGCCTTTAAAAGGCAAAAGAGCCTCTTGATACTCAATTTTTTTCATGTTTCATATTGAACATCAAATTTAAAAAACAGCAATAGACAATAATAAATGAACTTAACCAAGGTTTTACATCTCTTTGCCAGAAAATAATCATGCAGGGTCCAATCTTCCAATTTGACTTTATTCCATCCTTTTCCCCATTTGGTTTGTTCCCTTTGTAAAGTGCTAACTTTTTAAGCCCTTAATGTTCATTTCTTAAGCTTCCAAAAGGCCCAAGAATTAAACTCTGCACAAGGATATCCTACCAACCCCTCCCAACAGCTTGATAAACCCAGCTCTCTTCTATGAAACAGCAGGTTTTGGAACAGAAACACCAACACTTTAAAAGCTAATAAAAATTGATCAATAATAGAGCCAATGCTCCCTATAGAAATGAAAGATCTATATAATTTCAGTCACTTGCATTAGCAAAGGTTTCCTAAACATCCCTTGTTTACAAAGCTCCAAGCCAGCTCCACATTTGCATCTTTAATCAAAACACATAGGGAATGCTGAAACTTTCATTATATAGTTTTGTCTTATTTGCTTGTATTCATTTTCCGACAAATATATTCCTTTAGAAAAAAGAAAACTTTCTGTTTTATCATTTTTGTAAAGGTGTTATCTTTTTAAAGTAATCTCTACACCCAGCATGGGGCTCAAACTTACAACCCCAAGATCAAGAGTCACATTCTTTACTGACTGAGCCAGCCAGGCACCCCTCTGTTTTATAATTTTTTACAACTCAATATCCAGTTTGAGGTGGGTTGTGTTGGATAGAAATACTTTGACAATACTTTTCTTAAGATATTTCCAAAGAAAAGTCTATATCATCTGGGACAGATAGGAGAGAAGAGGGATGTATACTGAACACCTGACAGGCATCTCCCCAACACCTGGGGACTGCGACACTCTGACTAGTGGCCAGCAGACTCCACTGCTCAATTTAATGTAGTTGCAACTGTGGGATGGACACACACACACACACACACACACACACACACACACACACACACAACTGTTGAGCAATTTGTGCCCT